AGTAGCGGCTGGTAATGCAGGAGAGGTCAAAGCCCCCAGAGTTGATGGGCACTCCGTCACAGCTGAGGATGCGGCCAACAGCAGCGGAGGTGGAGGAGCCCACCACGGTGTTCTGTGGGAAGGAGCTGAGGATGGGGCCGGGCAGGGTCACCACCACGGCGGAGGGCTGGATGGCCACGGTGGAGTCCTGGCACTGCCTGACACAGGGCTCATTGCAGCTGTTGGCCAGCGGGGTCGGGCCGCAGGGCCGGCATGGCAGGCACTGGTCGTAGCAGGACATGTCTCTGAGGGTGGAGGTGCACCTGGGTAGAAGCAGGGAGGAAGCAGAGCACAAGGGTGGGTGAGGACCTGCCTGGTTACCCTGTCACCAAGAAGCCAAGGCCACTGCTGAGTGGGGAGATGGAAACACTGACATGAGCCACACCGTCTTCATTGTCCTATGAAGAGTAGCCTGTCCCAGGGAGGCTCTCTCCTAACTAGGAAACCAAAATCCTTTTAGCACTGCAGACTCTCTCTAAACAAACTTTCTACCCACTTCCCTTTGTCATGACAGGAAGATCCAGACCCCAGGACAGGACAAAGCAATATCAGCTGGGATGTCTCCCAAGTGCAGATCTCCCTATGGAAGAGGAGGAGAAGGGGCTTCAGACTCACCTGGTTCCCAAGCAGAAGGAGCCAAGAGAAGGGCATGAGAGAGCAGGGACTTGGGCTGCCTTTTATACCTGCCCTTCACTGCCGCAGGACCAGAGGCACCCTTTGCAGAGGTAACAATTTTCTGACAAGCTCCTCTTGAATGCTAACCATCGCAGCTAATGATATGGGCTGTGCTTTCCTTTCCAGCACTGCTCCTTTTCATTTCCAGGTCTGTGCCATGCCCATGGCCCAGTGAAGGCTTGTTCTGAGCACTGGGATGAAAGGCCCCAGGATTTCTAGGGCAGGAATGCAGCAGTGCTGGTGGAAGACTCAGCTCAAGTTTTGGATGTTTCTAGAGCAGGCAAGTGATGTCAGCCTGGGTCGCTTTGGTGGGGCTGTTTAAAGTGTTATTAGAATGAAATTCCAGCCCTCCTCAGATGGATGCCTTGGGATCCCACCCATGAAGTTATACCATGTCCATATGTTTGCCTGCCTCCCTCCTCAGCTGACCTCTATGGTCACTTGTTGTTGCCTCCCCAGGTATAGGAGTTGTGCTGCTGGGGTTTGACCCCATCCTGCCTGACACTGCCCAGACCCAAGGGATCCTCAGCAGTGTCCATAGTCCATTGTGTTCCCGTGTTTGTCCTTTTCTTGTGTTTACCTGTAAGCAGACACGTTTGTGTGAATGCATGTGGGAGTACAAATCTGTATAGAATTCCACGTTAGTGTACATGAGCCTGTGTGTGTGTGTGTGTCCTTGTGTGTCCTCCATCAGGAGGGAATGTGCTGCTCATGGCAGGGACACTCTGCTCTGCTCTGTCCATGAGCTCCACAGAGCAGCAGGTTCCCAGGGTCAGAATGAGCCTGAGTGCAGCTGAACGGTGATGGCACCAGCCTGCTAGAGATGTGTCCAGGGAAGAGGCTCTGAAGTGCAGCCACTGGCTCCTGAGCCCTCCTTCTCCTGCCCCTCCAAAGCTCACGCTCCGCTGCTGCCAATGTCAGGCCACTACAAGGATGGTTTCACTCCAGCTTGGGCCCTTCGTTTAATTCAGTGTAACAACCCTGGGAGTGCCTCAGCATGGCTGGCAGTGCCCCCTCCCTGCCTCTCCAGGCCAGGACACGGCTGCTCTCCCCAGCTC